TAAAGCTACAGGTGCTCATGCTACCCCCAAGACTACTCTAAGAATGGGAAGTAAAAACTGAAGGGAAAAAGGCTCCTCAGGCAATTCAGATGCACAGCTTTGGTTAGAAATACTACGCCCTGCTTGGTGTGGCTCAGTGGACTGAGCACCTGCCTGTGAACCAAAGCGTAACTGGTTCGGTTCCCAGTCAGGACACATGCCCGGGTTGCGGGCCAGGCCCTCAGTAGGGGGCGCAGAAGAGGCAACCACACGTTGATGTTTCTCTCCCTCTTTTTCTCCCTCCTTCCCTTCTTTCTAACAATAAATAAATACAATCTTTAAACAATAAAAAAATATTACATTACCTAGTCAGATGACTCAAATCACAGATGGCTACACCCACATTAATGCTGCACTGAATGTTCATCCTAAGGTTACTTTTCTCCACTCCAGGTGACTAAAAAGGTCGTAAGATCAAACGCGCTCTTTCTGTAGTGCTAGTTCACAGACTAAAACTGCTAAGATTGTTCAACTTTCCTTCACACTTGAAACTGAGACCGTGGGAAACCCCCTTCACGAACAAGTATTACAGCTCCTGGGTTCTGACCTACTTTGCTGCAAAATGGCTAAATGCACCAAGAAGGTCGGAATCGTCCACATAAATACGGCACCTGTTGTGGTGCCTCTCTCAGGAAAAATAGTAAAGAAAATTGAGGTCAGACAGCACGCCAAGTACACTTGTTTCTTCTGTGGCAAAACCAAGATGAAGAGGCGAACCATGGGGATCTGGCACTGTGGCTCCTGCATGAAAACGGTTGCTGGCGGTGCCTGGACCTACAACACCACTTCTGCTGTCACAGTCGAGTCTGCCATTAGAAGACTGAAGGAAGTGAAAGACCAGTAGAAGATTCACAATTTGAAGCATTGCTAGCTGATAATAAATGGGTTAATTTATGTAACAAAGTTACTTTGGCTTGTTAATTTTATTAAGTGGACATTCTGATTTACAGTGTGTTAATTTTGCTTTCTCAAAAAAAGACTTGCAAATTAAAATTCTTCTAATTTTTCAGTAGACAAATAACATAAGAATATAAGCCTTAGCTTTCTGTAAATCTGTTTTGCCCATTCAGCTTAGATACATTGGTTCAGCTTAGAGATAAACTATGCAAAGTCATTTTTAGATCACAGTTAATATTTTTTAAATGTTTCTAAAAGTAGGATGGACATACGCTTCCTCTTAACTTTTGATATTTTGTCTGACCCTTGTACTATAATCTTCAGAAAACTGAAACAATTAGAATTTCAGAGCCAAAAAAAAGGAACAAGTATGTTAAGAAGTATCCAAATATTTGACTACTTATGAAACAACTTTACTTTAATGTTTCAGAAAACAAAAGAAAACAAAACAAAGGACAGGGAAGATGATCTCTTAAATACTCTGCATTGCCTTAAACATGAGGTCATGAACTATAATGAAAAAGTACATTACACTCAGATTTTGCTGGGTTTAGGACACTAAGGGGACAGGACGGAGAGTATGTGTGACTTAATCCATTGTAATAATAGAATGTGGAAATGAATAAGTCATTTCTCCTGTGTGACCCATGTGTGACTGAATATTAATAAATTATCTGACCATTGATGTTTTTCGATTACTGTACTTCCAGTGAAAGAGAATTTCCTTGAAATTCCATAATACAACCAACATATTATGTTTCAAATACTGTACATTTCAATAAAAGACATTTAAATCTGTCTAATTTTCTCAATCTTGTCTGCTTTTAGTTACAACATGCAGTCCTGCTAGCTCAACCCCCATTTCCCCATGGCAAAGTCAACTCAGCAAGCAATCCCATCACTAGATAGCCACTAAAGACCAGAAACAATAAAAGGAATAACAAGTACTCCAGTGTCTTCTATTATCAGACAACCTCTATATATCACACAATATATAGTGCACATTTATTATATCACATGCCCTGAGGAAGACAGGATATGATTAAGTGATGGTATCTTTCATAAGTAGACCTATGTAAGTATAGTTCCTCTTACTATGGGCACCCTGCACCAGCCCCTTACGTGGAATGAAACAGGTCTTGTTTTTGTTGGGGGATGCCAATATTTTTGAAGATAAAAGCAACAGAAGCCTCTGTTAACATATTTGACTAACAAAAACAAAACTAAAACACTGTCTCCAGCCTAAATAACTAAGCATTAGTTATCAAAAATTGTAGTGAGTCTTTCCATACTATATCACAGCATAAAAATTATGTAGAATTGTATGTACAATTTAGTTTCTTTTACTATCTCCCAAAAGCTCAACAAACCAGTACTTATTATGAATGTAATCAGAATCATGCACAAATCCAAACATAAAGGCTTGAAATACCTTAAATGTTCATGGCTCTTCATGTTTATAACCAAAGTTCAGAGAGTAAAGTATCCTCTTTTAGCCTCATAGGAACTCCATGAGATACTGCCAACACCCTCGTTGTACAAATGATAAAAGCTGAATAACAGAGATGCTAAACATCTTGCCTAAGCTCACAATGGATCTTGATGTCTCCTTCCAAACTCAGGAAAAAAAAAAAAAGATTTCACTTACACCCAGGTTTACCATACTAAGTAATGCAGTGAAATTAGGTATTGATATTGTCATATATGAACGCTGAATGTCTTGCCCTTTTCATAGTTCTATAGTAATGGTTCACTCTTACATTGTCATGAAGACCTCTTTGTAAAAATCTAATGAAATCTTAAGAAAATCTTATCCCATAAAAAAGGTACATACGCAAATGTTCACAGCAGCATTATTCATAATAGCCAAAGAGTGGAATCCACCCAAATATCCATCATTTGGTGAATGGATAAAAAAATGTGGTGTATTCATGCAATGGAATATCATTCAGCCAAAAAAGAAATGAGGTATTGATACAACATGAACATACCTTGAAAATATTATGCTAAATGGAAAAAAAAATCAGTCACCAAACACCACATGCTGTAAGATTCCACTTGTATGACATGTCCAGGATAGCAAAATTAATAGAGACAGAAGGTAGTCTAGGGCTTTGGGTGGGTTGGACGGAAATGGGAACTGACTGCTCATGAGTATGGGTTTTCTGTTGGGTTGATGAAAGTGTTCTAAAATTGATTTTGTGATGGTTGTACAGCCATGAATATATTTGAAAGCCACTGAGTTGTACACTTAAACAATGTATTATATGGTATATGAATTATATTTCAATAAAGGTGTTATTTATAAAACAAGCATTAAAAATGCACGTACAAATAACATTTGGCAGATGATTTCCAAAGATTTACTAAAGCCCCTAAGCCCACCTACAGGTGCAGAGGGATTCAAGATTTGAGGTGAGTAACTCCTGATCTATAGAAATTTGAACTGTCATCCAATTCCTTGTTTTACAGATGTTATCTCAACTTTCCCCACCATAACTATCAAATCTATGCCTCCTACATTTTAAGATCACTACTTCATCTATTAGATCACATGACCACAGTGGTTTTCAATATGGATTTAAAACAGTTAAATAGCAGTTTCAGACTATAAATTTTAAGAGCTTTAGAAAAAACCTTTAGTAATTGTCTATTATTTGAAAGACATGGTTGGAATTCAAAAATGTAAAAGATACAATTTTTTGTCCCCAAGGAACTTAAAATCTAATAGATGAGATAAGATCAATCTGCAAACAACAATATACAAACTAGAAGGTGAATCTTGCATTAAAAAGGCCAGGGAAAATCAGTGAAGGAAGAATGATTAAAGGAAATCTTCTTGGCAGAGGCGGACATTGATTGCTGGGCTTAACTTTGAAGAATAGGTAGGATTTGAACACGCAGAGCAGTAAAAAGAATTCCAGATGAGAGCAGAAGCAGAGACGTTTCAACATTCCTGGGAACCAAGAATAGGGGCTTTAATGGCAAGCTAGATCCTGGCCTTTATTTGGTAGGCCCTGAGAAGCCAAATAGAGCTGCTGAGTACAACAGTTACCTAATGAAAGCAGTATATTAATAAGATTGATTGTTCAATAATGTGTGGATGCATGTGGAAAAGAGAAAAAGTGGAGCAGGGAAACAAATTAGGAGCCTATTACAGTAGTATGAAGAAAAAGTTTGTAGTCTGATTTAGAGAGTGGCATCCTGAGTCAGTAATCATTTTAAAAGATCAAAGCATACACCAAAAATTAGTTTTTAGACATGCAGTATCTCATTTAAAGTGCTGCCAATATAGAAGCCAACTATAGTTCCATCATGGTACATGTATCCCTTGAAAGGACCCATCTACAACTTAAGTTTTGAGATCGCAAAATAGCGTTTAACACAGGGTTTTGGCTACCTTAGCCTATGGGATTAGAAAGAGCGCCAAAGGCTCTTTCAGGCTCCCTTTCCTCTATTAACTATACGGAACACAGTAGGTGCTTTATCAGTTTACAATAAAACAATGCTGATAAGATTTGGATAAGCTTACATGTGACCAAGTAAATAAACCTCAACACCAAGACTAAAAGACCTTAGACAAAATGATACCTGCGATAGCAAACACTGGAGGCAGAGATGGGCTGTTGAGCTCAACAGAATTTCCTTGAAACTGCTTTACTTCTATTTGTGAGCCTGAGGTGACTGGAGGTAGGTTATAACTTTGGGTAGTATTATAGATTTCCAAATGGGCAGGCACCAGACAGATAACATAGGCGCGTTTACCTGCCTGAAACGTCTTAGGATTCCTCACTGCTCAGAAGAGACAAAGAGGAAGTAGGAGGCTACCAACAAGGCTTAGTTCATCCAGAACGCAAAGCGATGTTAAACGGGGGCCTAGGAAAAAGAGGGTGGGAGGTCTGAATCAAGAGACATTCCCCTTCAAAGAAAAGGCCCTGCCCAGGTCTCCACGTGCCAGTTACACCAAGTGAAGAAAAATTATCCCACAGCCCTTTGGCTGCTAATCCCTGCCCACCTCCAAGAGAGACCCTCCAACTCCCTTTCCCCTTCTGCTCCTGGCTCACTTGTCCCGGATGATGGTCTGCAGCTCCCGGATCTGGTCATTCATGGGTAGCAGCTTAAGCTGAGCCCCAATCTGCCCGGAGAGTTGGCTGTCCCTTAGGAGGCAATCGCGGGCCGATGCGTCACAGTTGTCACTGCCACTGTTACTCTCTGGGTTGAGGCTGCCCCCGGCGCAGGCCCGAGGGTCCCCCTCCCCCGAAACGCTAGAATGGGCGTGACTGGTGAGGAGAGTCGGCTTCGCTTTGAAGGCGCTGTTTCCCCCAGCAGGATCCGGGATGAGGTCGCCAGGTCGCGGCGGCTCAGGGCTTGGGGTAGAGGCAGAGTTTACTTGTTGGTTGTGACAGGGCATGGAGTCCCGGCACCGTAACTCCGTGGCCATACACCGGACCCGGGCTGTCCCCGCAATACCAACTCCTAAGGATAAAGGCAAGCAGGGAGAAACCGTGGATGCTCACGTGCTCTCCTGACTGTCCCCGCCTCCTCGCACCTCTCTCCTCAACAGCCCTCTCTCCCGTTAGGCTTCCGTAGGTTCCACTTGGCCACACCCAGCCCCTCTACGCTCACCAGCTGTACGGACTGTCTAGACACTCAATTGGCTTGTCCCCCTGCCACTCTGCAGCGCACTGTTTCTTAACCCTTTGAGTCACTCCGGTTGTGTGGTTTCCCACACCTAATCAGGCACATCCGGTGAGGCCAGGGATGCTTAGTTGCAGGATATTTTGGGAGCCCCCCCTAAGGATTTAGCATGCAGAACTTTGGATAAGCAGTAGAGCCAGGAAAAACTAGCGGGGGGGGGGGCGTGTAAAATGATGGCACACACAAGACCCATGGTTTTAGGCTTTGTATATGGGCAGAGAGGTTATACTTCAGTAACTGGATCTTCACTTAGCTTGTCTATGTAAACAAAGGGACCAAAATTCTGGCACGCTGAAGCTGATTTTTGGAACATCTTTTTAAGCTTTTTATTAGAAGCAAAAGACTCAGAAGGAAACTTTGATTCCCCTCCCCTTTCCTGTCTAGAAGATTCAGACAAATAATCTGCTTCAAGAAGTAGATTTTAGGATGTAACCTTAGTCTAATTTGAATCAAGTATGGTAAACAAGAGGGCTTCAGGCTGGTAAGCGAGATACCCACCGTGCCCCACTGTTTCTGAGCCACTTATCAAGGATTTTTTTGCCAAGTGTGTTCTGCTCTTCCTCAACTACCGGTAAATTACCCTTTCTCACTTAAATTTAATAGCCCACTCCTCCCCCACTTTCTCCTTTGTCCAAAATGTCTTATGTACCCAATGTTGCCTCACTTCTTTGGGATTTTCATGGGATGATCATGCCTATGTGAATTCCCCATGGGCCTGTATTAAGCTTTGATATTTTTTGGTCGGTCTCTCTCTGTTAATTTGGTTATTACCCCAGCCAGAAGAACTTAAAAGTTGGGAGGGAAAGTATTACTATTTTTAGCACACACATAGCCAAAAGAGGAAGTAAAATATGCCTAGCAAGCTGCCGGAAAAACCTGCCCTCTGCTAGACTGTTCTACAAGTTGCAGCTTCCCAAGTTTGCTTGACTGCTACAGTTTTCCGTATCTGTATTGTTTGGGCCCTACACTATACAGTTACCATGAGGATTCTGACAGCATTTTAGATCCACTACTGAGGCAGGATAGTAAGAAGCCAGGAAGATTCCTTGGCAAGCAGAATGGGGAAACTGAGACAGAGAGCTGATCCATACTGGCCTCATCTAGCGCTCCTTGGACTCACTTGCATCCTTCTCCATTACCTGTCCACTCCCTTAAGCATTAAGACCTCAGGAAATGAGGTTCTTATCAGCATCAAATAACCTTAGGAACAAAGCCTCAGAGCTACTGACCACAGACACAGAGTTTTAGTCAAACTAGAGATAACATCTAGGCCTCAGTTGGGTTTAGCTCTAGGCCATGAAAAGTGACAAATCAGAGTGATGCCAAGGTTGCCTCAGGACTAGCTGTACTGAGTAATGACCCCCTCCTCTAGTGCCCACCAATCAATAGAGAACAGGACCCTGAACAGAAACACCTGGAAAGCTGATGAATATTCTATTGAGATCTTCCCCTGAGTCCTCCCCTAAAATTCCTGCCCTTAGAAAACAGAAGGAACTCAATGCATTCTCCGCCCACGCTCCTAGCATGGCTATGCCTTTCCCACCCTTCTTTCTCAAGGCATGTATCTTTGCTTGCTTTCTTCTAAACCCTAAAGTTTCCTAGGAGACTTGTAATGAGGGGAGCAACAGGCAACAGCAACTCATCCCTGGTGAAACTCCTGAACTGGTCTCTAAGGGCACTTCTTTTGCCTCAGTACCTTGTTTCCTGAGTCCATGAAGCCTAGCTGGCTCACTTCTGCTTCTGTGACTTTCTTTCTAAAAGGCTAATCTTCTGGTGCTAAAGTTCTTAGCTCTAAATTCTTTCTTTGCCATCTCAAGAACCAAGGTCTAACAACACCATTAAAACTACCACTTTGTTTCTTTTAAATGCTTGGAAAGACACTTTATTAGCGTGTGGGCTCAGTATAAATGCTTGAATTAAGAATGGCAGAGCAGGAGTGTCCAACCTTTAGGCATGGCAATTAGAAGAAGAGTTGTCTTGGGCCACATGTTAAATACACAAACACTAACAAAAACTGATGAGCAAAAAAAAGGTCTGTGCATAATTTTCATGATATCCACCATCACAGATAAGCAAAAAAGTACTCACATAATAACCCTAATTATGCAACAGCCCTTTTGGCAATCTTTTAAAATCGTCAAGCAAGTCCCAAGTTTGTGATCACTAATGTGGAAAGTGTACATATCTAAGTAATAAAAGTCACTGATTTTTAAAATATTGTTTATCATGAAAGTAAAAGAAAAGAGGGCAACATAAAACTAATGGGATGTTTGACATTGTATTTGAGAAACTAGTGCATCAATATCTGGTTTGATAGAAGTAATTGCAATTCTCAAGGTGCTCATCAGATATTTTGGTTCTAATTTTACTCTTAATGCATTTCATTCTTGAAAATAGTAATAGTGGTCCATGCACCTTATTTGTTGAATAAGCCTTATTTTCCCCATTGACTTGAAATATCAATTTAATCATATTTTACATTGTTAAACAGATATATACGTTTGTTTCTAGAATGCTCATTTTATTTCACTGATCTCGATTATTTCTATGCTGATGTCATGTTTTAATTGCTGAGACATTATAATGAATTTAAATTGTTTAATATTTTATAATGGATCTTGGCATTTAAATAAATAAATAAATAAATCTGCAAATAATAAAATAGTTGCTCGCAAATGTAGGTGCTGCCAAATAGCGATGACATGAATAAGGCTTGATTGTGAAGCAAAGGATGTTTGTCTCTGGGAAGACAGGACCTATAAAAGTCCGATAAAGAGACACAGCCAAGTTTTGCTTTAAGTTGAATGTCAGCTTGCAGCTCTATGAATTCCATTTGAAAATTGGCAGGTAACATATTTATGTTGATTGAAAATGGAGTCTCAAATATAGCAAAATATTGATTATTTTCCCAGAAATTTTGAATCTGTTTTCAAATCCTTATATCTACTTGAAAAGCAAGGCTGCATATTTTTCACTGTTCACAAGATTGTGTTTAGCCAATGTATCAAAATACATAAAATTGTTTGCCTTAATTTGAGCCTGCCATAATTTCAGTTCCATTTGGAATGCTGTTATGGTTTGAAACATGGTATTGATAAGTTGGTTTTCACCTTGAACACATATGTTTAACTCACTTAAATGAGTAGTTAAATCTGCTAAAAATGATAAATCTGCAAGCCAGTTTTCATCATCAAGTTCTGGCACAAATTTGTTTTCTTATACCATTAACATTTGGCCTCGACTTAGCCATCTTACTTCCAAAAAATAAATTATGTCACCACACTCAACATCAATACTTTTAAGATATACCTGGAATTGGTGATGATTCAATCCCTTGACTCTTACGAAATTCACAGTCTTGATGATGATTTGCGTGACGTTATCCATTTTGAAAGCTTTTGTGCATACCTTTTTTTGATGTACTATGCAATGCCACTTCACCAAACATGACTTTTGGGTGGCAATTGCATCGTCTTCTATTAATTTTACAGTTACCTCTCTTTTACCTACCATCACTGGGGCACCATCAGCAACTATACCAGTTATATTGACAATGGACAAAGAAAATCGCTTTAACATATTTTTTATTGCTTCATATAAATCTCTAGATTTAGTTGTGTCTTTTAATGGCACTAAAGATGCCATTTCTTCAGTGACATCATATTCATCATCAATACCTCTAATAAAAATGGCAAGTTGAGCCATATCTGTAGCATCAGTGCTATCACCCATCACCAAAGCATAAAATTTAAAATTAGCAGTTTTACTCTCCAAACTTCTTTTGATAGATTTTCCAGTTTCTTCAATTTGTCTGGCTATTGTCTGGTGAAACAAACTGGTTTTAGAAATATCCCCCTGTTTTTCAGGGAAAATTGTATCTGCCACGCTTTCTATACATTGCTTAATAAATTCACCATCACTAAATGGTTTTGATTTTTTTGCTATTAAATATACTACCACATAACTAGCTTTTACAATGGAATCCACCCAAGTTGTAACTTAATGAAAAAAATTTTTGTTGAGAAAACAGACTCTTCAGTTCTGCTATTTTGTCCTTATGACACAATCCTTCACATGCATTGAATTTGGCAGCATGATTTTGCATATAAAGCCTTTTCAGATTATAGTCTTTGAGAACTTGCACAGATCCCCCACAAATTAAGCAGAGTGCCTTACTATTTGCCTCAACAAAAAAGTAGTCATCTTTCCATGTTTCATTGAACAACCTTCCTTCATCCATAATTTTTCTTTTGGGGGGTTCTTTTTTTCTTTTGAGACGTTGTAGAAGCTATGTTGGTGTTAAAATAATAATAATAGATACGGGACTTTGTTTACTTTTATTATGAAAATAATTGACAGGAAAATAGAAAGCAAGTTTTGGGCCCACCTACAGCCCTCTCAGCTGTTGATGCAGGGCAAGGCGGAGGGCTGATTGTAAAGTGTGTTGGGAGATATGTGAGGCATCACCAAGGTGTGGACGTACTTTTAATAATCAAATGAGAATGCTTACCTGACTTCTAAACAACATTAAACACCTCACATGCAATGGTAGGTTGAAATATTATTAACAATTGCTGCTTCGCTAAGTCACGACGAGCACATGTAATGTCTGATGGTGTCAACTGTACTGTCTGTGCTTGGAAGATAACACACTTGAAGCTGCACACTGACCTAACACTGAAGCTACGCATCCGTACAAATAGCAAGAGCATAGGTACACTTATTTTACATGACATTGTGACACGTAATCACAAAAAAATTCTCATAATGTTTTAAGTAAATTTATCATTTTGTGTTGGGTCCCATTCATAGTCACCCTGGGC